ATAGCTCCTCTCCAGGTTCTGGATTTGAAAGGACTGGAGCTGTGGTCAGATACTTCTTTAGGTCAGCCAAGGCGGCCTCGCATTCTTCGGTCCACAGGAAGTCTGTGGCTTTCTTCACCAAGTTGAAGAAATGTCTGCATTTGTCTGAGCTTCTGCTGATGAATCTGTTCAAGGATGCGGCCCTTCCAGTTAGCATCTGCACTTGTTTTGCTGACGTCAGGCTCTTTAACTCTAGGATGGCCTTGATTTGATCTGGGTTGGCCTCGATGCCCCTTCTTGTCACCAGGTATCCTAAAAACTTACCAGATCCAACTCTAAATGCACACTTCGATGCATTGAGTCAGAGCCGATATGTTTTAAGGATTTCAAAGACTGCTTTTAGATCGGCGAGATGACCCTCAGGCTCCTTGGTCTTAACGACCATGTGTTCGACTGTTCGGCCAATCAGGTGTTTGAACATTTTGGTTACCAACCTTTGGTAAGTTGCTCCTGCGTTTTTCAACCCGAAAGACATTACTCTGTAACAGTACAGGCCTTTTGGGGTGATGAACACGGTCTTCTCTTCGTCTGGGGGGTACATGGCTATCTGATGGTACCTCTTGTAGGCATCTAGGAAGCTCATCCTTCCATGCCCTGAAGTGGCGTCTACCAGCTAGTCAATCTTGGGTAGAGGAAAGCTGTCTTTGGGACAGGCTTTGTTTAAACTGGTAAAGTCTACATAGACCCTCCATTTTCCGTTCTTCTTCTTCACCACTATTGTGTTGGATAGCCATGTCGGGTAGTGAACTTCTCTAATGGCCCTGGCCTCCAGAAGTCTGTCTACTTCTTCCTTTACTGCTTCGACGTGCATTAACGTCGGTCTTCTGGTTCGTTGAATTACAGGTTTGGCTGACTTGTCAATATTCAGTTTGTGACAAGTGACCTCTGGGTCAATGCTAGGCATTTCGTAAGGTGTCCAAGCAAACACCTCAATATTTGCTCTCAAAAAAGCTTCCAACTCTTTTTCCTCTTTTTCGGCTAAGCCTGAGCCGAGAAGAAAGAAGCGTTCTTCATCCCCATCCTGGACGAGGATTTTCTTCAGTGCCTCTTCGCTCTTCTCGGCTGGCTCCTTGCCGACGTCTTCTAGGACTTCCACGTCCTCATCTTCAATTTCTGTATTTTCTGGCTCTCGTATGCTGCAGGTAGATTTTATTGCTGCCATGGAGAAATTCTTTGCCTGCAGCTGATTACCTCTGACTTCCTGTATCCCATGCTCTGTTGGGAATCGCAATAGTTGATGCAATGTTGAGGGAACTGCCCCTATTGCATGCAACCATGGCCTTCCCAAGATGATGTTGTAAGGGGAGGGTGTGTCGATTACGGTGAACTCTGTTGTTACCTTCCTGGTGCCCGCCTACACCTCCAAGCTGGTTGTTTCCAGTGGCCATGTCGGCGTTCCATTGAACCCGACCATTAGGCTATTGGATTGCTCCAAATTGTCTGGGTGAAGGCTGAGCTCCTTGTAACATCGAACGTACATGATGTCGCAAGAGCTGCCTTGGTCAATCAGGATGCGTTTTACTTAGCACTCCCCAACCTAGAGGGATACTACCAAGGCATCATTATGCGGATGCTGTACCATCTCAAGGTCGGCTTCTGAAAAGGACACTACTGGTCCTTGGCGCTCCTCTGCCCGATGTCTCTTCTCCCCGACTTGGTAGACATGTTGCAGGTGCTTCACCTTCTGGGTCTCTTCCCTAATTTCGTTCTCGTTGACCTTCGAGTGAATCACATTGACTATCCGAGGTCCTCCTGCCTGAGGTTGTGGTGCTGGGAGAGGTGGAGCTGCTAGCGCCTGAGGCAATCTTGAATGTTCTTCCCTCGTCCTGGCCTCATCGATGAGGTCTCTCAGATGGCCTTGCCTCACCAGTTCTTCCAAGTGTGTTTTCAGGGCTCTACAACCCTGAGTCGTGTGCCCATCTTCATTGTGGTAAGCACAATGTCTGCCAACGTTCCTTCCTATAAACTCTCCTGGTGCCTTCGCTGGTGTTCTGAAATAGGGTTGGTTCCGAATCTGGTCCAGGACTTTGGGAATCAGGATTCAGAACACAGTTGTTACTGCCTGTGTGGCCCTCAGTTCTGTTTCTTGTTTGCTTGATCCATTGTTACCTCGGCCTCGCTTCGGTGAGCCGTTTCCTTTCTCTTGTTTTATCTCTTTAGTCCCCGATGTGTCTTCCTTGGCTCTGGCATAATTCTCGATTCTCGCCATGAGCTCTTCCATACTTTTCGACAATGTCTTTGCCAAACACTTTCGTAGTGGATAGTTATCTTTCAGGCCGTTCATGAAAGATACGAGCGCTACCTCTTGATTACATTCGGGTATTCGATTGAACACCTTGTAGTATCTTTTTGCATAGGCCCTAAGGCCTTCATCCTTGCTGATCTTCAGAGCCATCAACGCGTCCACCTTTAATGGCTGCAGCTTGTTTGTCACGAACCTGGCCACAAACATCTCGGCCAGGTCTTCCCAAGTCTTTACGCTTCCCTTTGGTAATTTGTGGAACCAATCTGATACAATCTCCCTGAAAGATGAGAGGAACACTTTGCAGAGCAATGGCTCGTTCCCACTATACAATGCCATTGAGTTCAAATATAGTCCAACGTGGAAGTTGGGGTCTGACTTACTATCGTATATTTGAAACCTTGGAATACTGAATCTCTTCGGCGCCTCAAACCTGTCCAATTCTACCGAGAATGGTGTCCTCAGCTTATCTGGGGAGGTTATCTCGGCGTCGGTATTCTGTTGCTTCCGCTTGAGGTAATCTCTTAAGTCCTCCTTTGTCCGCTCAGGAGCTCGGCTATCTCCTGCTTTCAATCTTTTTGGTGCGCTACTTTCAGCTTCGTGGTGAGTCCTTTTCGACCTTTCTCCATGAGTTGTGTCAAAGCACAGTGCCTGCCCCTGAATATTCCGATATCCTTTGGGGTTTGCCTCCTTTGTGCGATGCGTCCTCCGTGATTATTCTCTTCTTGACTCTCTTCGTCCGAATTCCCTAGAAGGTCGGTGAGAGTATCTTTCGCTCCCGTTGTGCTGAGGGGCTGCGGGGATTGTTTTCTGCCCTCCCTTCTGGGCATTGGCCGCTGGAATCGGCGTGTCCTGCAGCGGGAATGGTGGCTGCATGACGTTATTTTGCATCATGAAATTGATGACTGACTGCAAGTCTTCCAATTTGTTTGCCATTTCTTTTACCTCTTCGTCCCTTCGTAGGCACCTATCCTTCCAAACCTGGAGGTCGTCCTCGTTGTGGTATCCACTTCGATCTGGTTTCTTTGGTGCGTCGCCAGTCTGGTCGACGTCTTTCACTCCGTGATTCTGGTCACGAGTTTCTGCGTTGCATTCGTCTCCTGTGATATCAAGGTCAATAGGTCTCCCACTCCCAGCAGGAGTGTCGTCCCCAATCTTTTCCTTTTGTCCGTTACTGGCCATCTATTCTACTTTCTTTCGTTCCCACAGACGACGCCAAATTGTGTGAGTGATTTTTCGATCACACTGCCTAACTCAGTATTCAGCTGGAGAACACTGGCATAATAGATGACACCTGACTAACCTGTAACAGAAAGAGAAGATTCGGGCGGTGGTTCGTCCACCCGGGGGAACTCCGACGATCAACTCAGTATATCTCTCAAAGATAATCAATAGTGCTAAACTCACTATTCAGAATGTAAATTGCATACCTTAGACCCACGGGAGTGCCTATCTTTTATAGTTCACTCAATCCTTGTCCCAACAGGAGCCTAGCTCTATTAGACTTAGGATTACTATTAATCTTGGACTCCCAGTAGGATTGGGATAAACTGTCTAAGAGTCTTATCATTTTCTAACTGAAGTCTTCTCTCATTCTAGGACTCTTGTCCCTTATCCGCTTATCTCAGATTCGATATCTTCGGAGATAACCTCGGCTTAACCGAGATCACCTCGACGTCATGTCCTGGACACGTGTCACCTTGGCTGCTGCGTCGGCCCCATCTTGCCACGTGTTGGTACTCAAAAATATATCCCCACAGTATAAATATTCTTGTAAGCCATTAGGCTTAGACAACTTTTCTTTGAGACACCAATAATATTCTTCTTAGTATATTTTTTCTGGTGGATTCTAGTTCCAGTCCCGTGGATTCGGGTATATCAACCTCGTTTCCGTGCTGCATCACTCTCTCTCTCTCTCTCTTTCTGTCTCTCCATGAAGCTCTCAAATTCAAACTCATCACACAAACCCACAAATGGCTCTGTTTTATCTATGTCCCAACCTTAATTTGTGGACCTAGCAAGGCATAATCACCAGAGGCTCGGGACATTGTTGATGCGGAAACTCAAGAGGTACTTGACATGTTACAAGCTGATAGAGCCAGGAACCAAAGAAAAATACAAGGGCAAGATGAGAATGGATTCGTGTAATTTGTCAGAGAAGAAAACTAGTCGCGGTGATGGTGGGAAGTCACCGAAGAAGAACTATGACTGTTATAGCAAAATGAATGAAGATGAAAGGAATGAGAAGCTGACGTTTGCTATTAGCTACTGCAAGGTTAGTGAACATCAGTCTCGTTGGTGTATTAATGTTGAAAAAATATTTTGGCACTGTTTGGTTGGAATTTCTAAAATACTTTTGGACCAGCCAAAGAAAAATGAAGCAATTTATCTTCTATTTGGGTTTATTTTCTTTTTGATTATTCAATTAACCAAAAATAAAAAGCAAACCATCCTAATTCTTGTTTGGCGGTTTGTTTATTTCATCTTCCTATATGACTTAATCGCTACGAACTCTGATTATGGTTCTATATGAAAGAGTTGCTAGCAAAATAGACTACATAAATTGCATTCTTAGTTAACAGCAATGAAGCAATACTTAACTCATATGGTTTCTCCTTATTATTTGATGTTATTGTAGGGTGACCCAAAAGCAAATGAGACTTCTATTGAAGAGCTGGAGACTGAAGCCTAGGTTCTCGATATACCAAGCCCATGCTCCATGGATATTGATTCTCAAACTAATAATCAGTTATCACAAGTGATCAGTAAGTGCACCCACTATTTCTTTAAGTTTAGTTATGGTAAATCAAGAACAATGTTTGGCAACTCTCAGTTATTAAAACCACTAGTATATTGGATTACTTCGTGCTTTGTTGTTATTTCATTGCATACTGATGGACCGTTGATCTTTAACATGTCAAAATAGCCAGGGCTTGTTTAGGTAGTTAATATGATCTGAGTTGTTCTTATGCAGCTTCAGAAGAAATTTCAGCTGCTGCCAGTGATGATAAACCTGATCACTTGGAAATTGCTTGGCTTTATAATGAGGTAAAATTCATATGTTGTACTATTTAATCATAGATCATGCTAATGGCAACCCTATGGACTGTCAATAAGGTAGAGAAAATGCCAAAATATTTAGAATTTCAATGCTCCTTTCACATATTCCTAGAGACCTTCATATACTTTCTTACACAATGTAGTGTAGTTTTTACACATATATTAAGTCAAGTGAATATGCAAGAACTAACAATTGTTTCTTTTGCAGGATATTAAGTAGTGCCCCATACTTAACATACGGACTAATATGTATCAGGATTTTAAACTTTTGATATATTTACTGATATTGTTCAATACCAACTAATATATAACTGTACTGTCAATATCAATACATATTTTGCTACTTGTGAGGTTGAAAATTGTAATATAACCTTTATTCATAACTATTTTTTTTGCAAAAATTAGATGTCAATGAACCTGCTTGCGAGCAAACGGAACCTAGCACCACTGGTCATTGGGAAGAAATGGAGCTAGTCAGCAGAGATGGCCTAGCAAAGATAAAAGCTATTGTCTTCTTTGCTTCCTTCGACCAACGCAAGGACAAAGCTGCCGGAGAAAGCGCATGTGCAGCACTGGTTGCAGTCATTGCCAATTGGCTTCAACCCAACGAAGACAACACACCAACGAGGGCCCAATTCGACAGGCTCATAGTCGAAGGCTCCTCTGAATGGAGAAAGCTTTGTGACTATCAGGATTTGATAAACCAATTCCCCGACAAGCATTTTGACATCGAGACCGTCCTGCAAGCCGGACTCGTCCCAATATTGGTCTTGCATGAGAAGTCCTTCATCGGATTCTTCAGCCCAAAAGAGTTTGGGACATTGAAAGGAGTCATGTCTTTTGATCATATATGGGATGAGATCAAGAAGAACGCAGAGGGTGACAATGACATGCCTAGGATTTACATAGTAAGCTGGAATGATCATTTCTTTGTGTTGAAGGTTGATGTCAATGCTTACCACATCATCGACACATTCGATGAGCAGCTTTTTGAGGGTTGCAACCAAGCCTACATTTTGAGGTTTGATAACTCGGCTTTGATGCGCAAGAAGGTAAAGAAAGAAGGGGTCAGTTCCAATCAGGCAAGTGAGGATGAAATTTTCAGTAGCAAAGAGTGTTGCAGAGAGTTCATGAAGAGATTTCTAGATGCAATACCACTTAGGGAACTTGAATCGGAAGAGAAGAAGGAATCGGTTTCTTACTTCGCTCTCCACCAGTGATTACAGATAGAATTCAACTTCACCATTTCATCATCATTATCATCGTCTTCATCAGCTTCATCTACCAATTCAACTTCTTCTCTCTTCTCAAATGAGAGTACAAACAGAATGGAATATATGACTATAGACTTTGAAAAAAAAAATTGGAAGAGTTTACTTTGGAGAAAGAGAGAGAGAGAGAGAGCACCAAAAATAACAGAGTGAAACTGAAAACTCCTCTTTCTCTCCTCTCTTTTTTTGTTTTGTTTTGTTTTTGTTTTTGTTTCTTTCTCTCTCTATGAATGAGAGAAAATATGGAATAATACTAACTTTGAAAGCTAGATAAAGTTAAATAGTGGACAAATTACACTTTATCCCTCACTTATGGGCAATTATTATTTTTGCTATTAATTTTTTTGATTTATTTCAATCCAACCCCTATTGTTGACATTCTATTAACAGAACAGAAAAGGAACATGTAAGTTACTAATTTTATGATTACAATGCTCAATTAGGAGCTAATTTATTTTACATATATATAGGAGATATATACATATTTTTCATATCTTATGAAACATATGTGAGAGGAAAGATATATACGTGTGTAAAATTCATGTGTTATTTCTTTTTTTTTTTTTTTTCATAATAGAATGTTAATAGATAGTTGAGATTAAAATAAATTAAAAATTATGAAAAAAAAAATATAATACTTGTTAGTAAAGGGATAAAGTGCAATTTATTTATTAATCGAGTGTATGTACCCACTCACCCTAAAATTAAAAATAAAATAAAAAGAAGGAAATACTTTTTTTTTTTGAAGTGAGAAGGAAGAGACCAGTGTTGTTCTCAATGGGTGTTTGAGAAGTTGCTATTTCAGTAGGTTATTTTAGTAGGTTAACATTTTTATATTTGGGAAGATGATTGAATTTTTTTGTAGTTGGATGTGATATTTGTGAGAGAAAAAGTAAAATAATTATAAATTTGATGTGACATTTTGTCTTATTAATTATTTTAATCTATTTTATCTTTTTTTAAATTTTAGCCTAAATTAAACTAAAATATCACTTCCCAGCCCCAAGCTGGCTTTATGCGTTGTGTTTTTTATTTTTATTTTTATTTATTTTTAAAACTTTTGTTTGTTATCTATTTTCCCAATCTCCATGCTAAAATCAATATATATTCTGATTTATTCAATCAACGACAATGACAAACATATAAGACAACTTAAAAGAGTTGTTACAAGTTCATGTATGTAATTATCATAGCAAACATTCATCTATGAGTGAATATTTATTTTTTTATCAATGAATTTATATATTTTGATTTTTTCAATTATAAAAATGTAACACTTTTACTCCTGTAAACCCCTTCCATACTATCTCAAAAAGAGATGTATTTGTATGATTTTCATAGTTGAGATGGTTAATATGTATAGTTCATAAATGAATAACTAAAGTAATATTCGTTAATAATTAAGGATCTTAGTATAATTAATTGTAAAATAAAATAAAATAAATGTTTTTGCATAATCATTATTAATATACATAAATAAACATGCCCTTTAAGTAGAATACAAAAATAAATAGTGGTGTAAGAAAAATTGGTGGAACCAAGTGAATTGTCCAAGAACAATCAAAATTTCAATTTTTAACCAATCTTTTATCAGTATGGTTTATTTCAATTCTAAAATATTTTATATGAAGCAAATTAAACCAAACGAAATATTATATTTAAATATGTAACTTTTTCTTGATTTATAAAGTACTCCAAATTCAAAAATCAGTCTAATTGATATACTTATTGATATATTTATCAATGTTCTTAATCTTATTACTAGCATGAAGCAATTTGAAATTGAAGGTTATCAATGGAGATCTCTATTATTGGGATAATAATAACGTTACATTCATCACTTTTTTTATATTATCTATTATTATGTATCATCTCATATGTCATTGATATAATTTATCAACATAATCATTACCAGAACTAAGCAATTTGCAATTGAAGGATGTCAATGGAGATCTATATTATTGGGATAATAATAACGTTACATTCATCACTTTTTTATACTATCCGTTGTTATGTATCATCTCATATGTCATTGATATAATTTATCAACATTCTTAGGCCTTGTTTGGCAACTCATTGTTTTAGCTTAAAAGTCAAAAAGTCACTAAAAAAACTAACAAACCAACAACCTATACCAAAAAATTTAAGATTTCATTTTCTCATTACTTTTTGCACATTCTTTCGTAAAAAAAAAATAAAAAAAAATAAAAAGTCATTCCAAACATACTAATTTTTTTTATCTCATATTTTCACCAAAAAAATCAAAAAGTTACCAAAATAATTTGTTCTCAAACGAGACCATAATATCATTGCTAGCATTAAGCAATTTGCAATTGAAGGGTGTCAATGGAGATCTCTATTATTGGGATTGTTAAATATAGTAATTATATATTATGCCTATCATACATACCATATTATTTATTACCATACTTAGGTTTCTCTCCTCCTATATAAAGGAGTCTTGTATATATTGTTACATAATTATTCAACATAATATTTAATATACACATAACATAATATTCCTTCTCTCTCTCTCTCTCTCATAGATATTGTAACAGGAATAATAATAACGTTACATTCATCACTTTTTTGTGTTATCTATTATTATGTATCATCTCATATGTCATTTTATCATTGATATAATTTATCAACATTCTTAATAGCATTACTAGCATTGAGCAATTTGAAATTGAAGGATGTCAATGGAGATCTCTATTGTTGAGATAATAATAACGTTACATTCATCACTTTTTCATACTATCATTGTTATGTTTCATCTCACAGGTTGTTCTATCATTGATATAATTTATCAACATTCTTAATATTATTACTAGCATTATGCAATTGCAATTGAAGGATGTCAATGGAGATCTCTATTATTGGGAGAATAATAATGTTACATTCATCACTTTTTATACTAGGATAAATTACAAATACACCCCTTGAGGTTTACTTGAAGTACAGATTGTTCCTTGTGGTTTGAACAATTATAAATACACCATTGTTAGAATTTTTTATTTAATAGAATTAATTAAAAAGTGAAATTCATAATTTCTCCCCTATACAATAATAAAATTACCTACATTATTTATTAAAATAAAAATAGTTAATTGACTTGATGATTTATTAATAAATTGGGCAATTTGTTATGAAATTAGAAATCTCAGGGGGTGGAGTGTAATTTCCAGAATCACAGGCGACAATGTATTTGTAATTTACCCTTTATACTATCTATTGCTATGTATCATCTCATATGTCATTTTTTTCTTGTTCTTTTTGATTCGAAGAAAATTTCATTCAAGAAAGCCAAACGCCACTTACAAGAGTCCATCCAACTCAAAACTTACACCAAACAAGTGAAAATAAAGCGAGAAGCACGAAGGAGAGAAAACTATGAAAATATTCAGACGCACATTTTGTTCGTGCTCGTATTGCAAAGCAGAGCTGATCATAAAAGTTCGACAATAGAGAATGCCCGAGATAAATCATAGGTCCCAATAAAAGAGAGGGTAAGCTTAACAATCCCACACTGATGGACTCCAAATAATCAGAGCCAAGTTTATATTTATGCATATTATAAATATATTATAATCAAATTATATATATATATATATATATATGGTCACAATGCAACCAATGGCAGAAGCAGAGTCAACTATTACAATAGTAGCAAATACAGTAGCTTCTACATTAGAAACAACAAAACTAGTCACCTACCAGGATGTTAGAGAAGCCTTGGATAAATGGACAATTCCAAAGGTCAAACCAGAAACCATTTATAAAATTGGAACCTTTGATTTTACTAGTAGAAAAATAATTAAAACTTTTGAACATGAAGTTCCTTTACAGAATGATGACGAAGTAATTCAACTACTTCACATACAGGATTTAGTACCCTTTCTAAAAAAATACAAGTATGTACGCATTGGACTCGTCCAGATAGATTTTAGGCCTTTAACTTTGCTAGGGCAAAATGCTAGTCTTACCTGTACTCTCAGGGATGGTAGATGCCTAGATTGGAAAACTTCTCTAATGGGAGCTATTGAAACCAGTTTATCTCATGGACCAGTATATTTCAATATTTATCCGAATTTGAGTATAGCACTCATAGACCCTAAACTGTCTAAAGTTCTTGAACTTCGAATTTTGACAAATGGTTATCAGTATTTACCAAGATCACCACCTTTATCTGCAATTTTTCGTATCCATCTTAAGGTTTTAAGTACTCTTAATCCTTATATCAGGAAACACAGTGAATTAAGGCAAATTGTCCTAATTTATACTAACCTTTTTAGAAACCAGGTAGCTGTTCCTAAAATGATTCCAGGGAAAAATATTACATTTCCAAAAAAATAGCAAATTAAGAATGCCGTACCAGTCTGACTAATCATCAGACAACCCTAGATGATGTTATTTAGACACAAGGAGGTAATGTTTATCTTAAATTTCAACGACCTCTAAGCCGAAGCTTGTCCAGTATGAGTCATCACTTATTTACTTTGCCTTATCGAGTAGATTTACCCGAATCATCTAGACATTCTATGTCTGAACCTATAGAATCTGTAAACCAAGAGATGCCTTCTAGGCAGCCTAGTTAGTTTTCTCCTTTTCCTGACCCCCTTCCTGGAACCCTAATTCAGGGAATTCACATATCAAAAAACCGAATTCCTCATGGAGTCTATGAAACCAGAAGGCCCGAAAGCCCAACTGCTAGTGATATGAATTTTGAAATTTAAATGGATTTTACACCAGGAAGTGAAATTAGACAACAATTAAACCAAGATTTTATGCAAGATAAATATCAGGAATTTAGATCATGGTATTTTCATAACCATACTAAACAGCAGCTTCAACAGCTAAAAAAACAGTATTATTATCATTTAGAAAAGTATCAAGTTCTTAGACCTTTTCCCGAATGGTATTATGAATTTAGTACAGTTATGGACATA